CTGAATCTTTTTTGTCTTGAATGGAAAAGACTATGAGGCGGCCTGATTAAAGTATTCAGAATCCTCCAGGGCACTGACAAAGTCAACCCAGTGTACTTCTTCAGAATCAACAGTGAAACACAAACCAGAGGACACATGTCCTTTTTCTGGGAAGTACTTTTAAAACTGATGACAAGAGGCATTTGTTTTTACACAGAGGGTTATGGGAGTATGGAGCAAGCTAACCTGCCATGCTATTGAAGCTGTTCTTGGCTTCATTCATGAAAAATGCTGGAAGAACTAACACTAGAAGCTATCATTTGTTACCTTGTATGTTTTCTTTTATACCTACAGTATGTCAAACATAAATGAGAGATTTCATTGACCTGGTATCATGTGAAGCCTCATGGGTTCAAATCCAAGCATGATCAGTGACAGCAGAATTTTAGTGAACCTTTGATCCAGATTTGCATCTTCAGACCTTCAGATCAGGGCATTGATGAAGAATGTTATACCCCTGGAGGTGATTGAGAGAGCCTGGGACATTTTAGTCTGAATACATGCATTGTTTTTTTCATATTTGTCCATCATAATTCTTTGTATCAATACATCTTTTTTTTCTGGCTGTACGTACACAATTTGCACACTGATTCAAATGATGGTTGTACAGGGAAACATTACAACAGCAAAATTTCACATTTAAAACTGCCATGTTTGTCCTTCTTTCATTAGTGACCTTGCAAGAGCTTTTAAAAGGAAACATGCAATGCCACTGCAAATTAATGCCAATTTCCTGTTTGTTTTTTGTGATGAAACCAAGCTTCTACAGTGTGTCGCGATCCAAAATGCATTTGAAAGACTTCCTGAGGTGACCATTCACTACTGACCTCGTGCACTTCCTAATTTATACTTACAGGAAAAAATATGTGATAATAATTATTGCTAGTCAGAATAACAATGATTGTGGCACTGTAATTCGTAGGGGTTTATTGGTACTCGTAGGTGCTTTGATAAGAGTGTTTATAGTGCAGCATGTCAGTCATGAGCTTTTTCATCTTTCACTTAGGATTATGGGGGAAGGTAGCATAGTAGAGAGTAATCCCTAGCAGATACCAGCAGCTGAAATTATTTACAAGCCAGGGGCTATGAGGTGCATCAGTCCAGCAAAAATATTATATTACAGAAAAAGAATTTCAGATTGTCATAAATCTGTCTGCGCTGAGGAGAGCTGAATAAAACACTTTCATGTCAACAGTAACATCAATTTGCTCTGTAGTGCTACATGTATCAAAAAGTGTTCTTAAGGGAGCCTCAGAAAATATCAATATCATTGGTTAATATAAATGAAATTAATTTTTAAAGGTGGGCTAAAGGTTGACACCTGAAAAATTGCTTTACTTTGCAGAATAGAAGTCTCTGTCTTCACGTGAAATTCCAGGTCAAAAGGCCAAGTAATTTTCACAATCGGCTGTGGAGCCAGTGAAATATGGACTTCATTGTCATCTACCCTCAAAGCGAAAACATGACTTGATATATCATTTAAGTGAGTTTATTATCTTCATGAGGGCAAAGAGAAAAATGTATAAATGCTTAATTGTTCTTTTCAAGTTAGTTGTTAGCTGCAGATTGCATTCATGTCATGTATTAGAAAACTCCCTTTCAAAAGCAAATACTTATTTTTTATTTTCCTCCAACTTGAGGGTTTTCTAAATGAGTTGCAAATCATCTGGCTAGCTTTTCATTTTTTAATATCTAAGTGTGTGATGATGCCCTGTACAGGACAGTAGCATGGAGCAAGGCCCTGGATTATAGATGGGAGGGTCATGCATTTAAATCCCATATACTTCCCACAGATTGCTGTATAAATAGGTCTCTTGGTATTCATTGTAAAAGGGAATTTGTCCTCAGTTGAATAATCTGGTTAAGTAAAGCCTTACAAACAGTGTAGAACCACAAAACTATTTTGCTTAATTTGTTTTTAAGTTTATCTAATGAAAAAAACTATGTAGAATGTATTTATAAAATCTGTACTTCAGGAGTGTTGTGTTATTTCCAAACATAAACATGATCACCTGTACAGTAGGTGGAAATAGTTGTTTCTGTAGTGATAGTTGTGAAGATAGAAAGAGTGGCTGTATTTGAGCTTGACTTTGCAGATCTGAAAATATCTATCTGAACAGTTTAAAGGTTTTTTTAAGTACTGTGCAGATATGCCTTTAGATACTTTTTATGATGTAAATTAAAAGATCTTCATGAACACATGCTTTTAATGACATACAGTATGTTGCATTTCTTATCAGTTGTTTCAACCAGATCCTTCTGTTTTGTTCATTTGGACCACATTTTAACCTGTTTTCCTTGGATTTACAAGTCATGTCAGCAAGTGCTGTTTAAAAAGGATTTGAATCTTGTTCATATAAACTGGATTGTATCAGTTCAGTGCAGTGCTTTACTACATTAAAGTGTACGAGTGTAATAACAAATAGTTGGTTCAGATATATGGAATGACACTTTTTATTGGAAAGGGAACATACAGTAGTTATTTTTTAGTTTTACTATTTTTTTAACTGTAATTTTGGCTTTGATTTGTATATTGTATATAAAGATTTTGCCCTTGAGTGTGTTGTAACTCTCATTTGTCTTCTAAGCTGCAGTACCACCAGTCAGAAAATGGCTAAACAGCTACAGGACAAACTATCAGCTTCTCCATTTCACACAGCTTTGCAACCTATTCTTGTACAATGCAGAATGTGATTATGCAACTCTCCAATAACATTTAAGCAGATCAAGTTAGGCATCACTACAGGTATTCTTCATATATATATATATCTATCTTTTATAGCATTTGTTTGAATATTAAACACAAGCTTAATGTAATGGTTTATTTTCTAAAACATGAAGTCACTTTTTCAGTACAGAAAGGGTTTGTTGTTGTGTTGCCTTTTCTTGTGCACCTCTGGTCGCCTACTGAATGGGATCATTTAACAAACCAAATTTCATCTTTAGAAAGAGAGAGTGTGCAAAACATCAATTTAAAAACAAACCCCTTTCCATAATTTACTTTTCAAAAATGGGCATTTTTGATTTTTGAAAGGGAGAAACATTTCTGATACAATATCCAGACAGATATTGTGATGTAGTTTCCATGGCAACTTGCGCATCGGAGGCTCATACCTCTGTCTTGGGTACTGTCAGTAAAAAGAGAGCCAGAGACCTGCAAAGTCCCATAGATGGGCAGCTTCCACCTAATCCAGATTTAATTGAACTCCAGAGACTTTGAAGTGAAGCTGCCGAGCAGGCAGATACTATTCCAGGGAGAGATGAGGGCCTTGCTTAGCTAGGCCACAGCTGCTTCCCTCTACTGTCACCTTCTTTTAATGAGTACTTTAAGGAACTGTTATGATGAACCCTTGTGGCATGCTAACCTTATTTGAATATTTTTGATTAATGCCGGCTTCAGCGCAGTGGCAGGGCAAGTGCCCCACTCTGGTTGTCCCTTAACACCTTCATAATTAAGCTTTGAAATGAAAAGGCAAAAACTGAGGCAACAAAGAAACAAAGTGGGTTAGGGCTAAAGATAGGATTAGTTTGAATTGTGCAGGCAGACTAAGCATCTGTGTCTGTCAGGCAGGATGACAGGCATTGTAACAAGTTACTCTGACAACCGCTTGCTCCATGGAGAGATTAGGCTGAGTTCATCTGCAGGTTTTTGTTTAGCTTTAGCTGACAAAATGATACTTAACCTCTCATATAGGCAGCCCTTTGCTTTCAGAATTACTGAATATCAGATTAATGGAAGGTTTAGCACAAGGGAGAAACAACATCTTCAATTTATCCTGGTGTACTCTTCGTGCTGATTATGATTTCTATTCCATTTTGGGGACTCGTCGTTCACAGAAAAAAAAACCCATCCGAATGAGTCCGAAGAAGACTGTCTTGCCACAATAAATTATTAATGGTTTTAGTGGAATCTGTTTAAGTAGCAGCTTGAGTTGCTTTGGATGCCTTTAACTGTTAACCACGCAACTCGTGATGCTATTAAATAAATCACTGCTGTACCTTTGATGTGTGTATTTGGTGTAAGTTAACATCTGAGAAACACTTTTTTAAGAAGCATTTTTTTCTGCTGCATAAGTTTACCATTCTGTTTTTCATTTGTACATTCCTTCAAAGTGTATATTTTATATTTCAGTATGAGTAAACTCTCATTAGATAATGGAGGGTGTGTCTTTGCACAGTACTTTGTTGTAAATATTTAGTATATTGTCAAAGAATTTGAATGTTGCTATGTGTGTATACATATGTGCATATGCTGTTTGAATATCAGTGTTTTTCTTTGAAAACCTCAACTTCCCAGGAACATCCTTCTCATCTGCTACTCTGGTTTCACTTCACTCTGTCGTATATTTAAAAAACAACAATAAATCATTTGTTTTAGATATTTCTCTGTATTTGGTGAAATATAATTGATTATGAAGCATGGAATTGTAATATGTAATTTTACAATTGATTGGTTGGTGCAGGAAAGCATTAGTTTAGTAGTCTTGCATCTAATCTCTTTTCAGCTGCTAATGATTTCATAGACACTGTGACTGCTTATGCTATAACTGAGAAAATTGAGAGAAAAATTATATTGATTTTAGTATATGTAAGAATTTCTTCAATTAAAATAACTTATTTAGACTGTTGTGAAGCTTAGGTTTTGAATGTAGTGCCCATGTTATTATGGAATATACAATGTCTATATTAGATATTTGTTTTTATTTATTTTGAAGCTTCAAATGCTTCATTTCTAGATTTCTTGAAAAAATTATAATTAACTTAACCTGAATGAATCAGTTGATCTTCTAGCACTCTCCCCTGCCATCTCATCCCAATTTTCACTGAAGAGGGCTTATTCTCCGATTAGAAAAATCTCTCTTTCATTGCGGCTGATCAATAATATACATCAATCCTGCTTTTGGTGAAGATGCTTCATCTGTGTTTGATAAATGAACTGAAATGGCCTTTATGCCCCTTAGATTCTCGCCTATACTGAGGGACTCCATGGTAAATGGCTCTTCACAGAGATCCGAGCCATCTTCTCAAGGCGCTACCTGCTCCAGAACACAGCCCTGGAAATATTCATGGCCAACAGAAGTAAGGGAATCTGCGTTTTCCTTAAACTTTTTTTTCCACATTTTCAAGTAATTAAAAACCAAAACTAATCAGACTCGTTCACTAATGTAGACAGCTTAAGTTAAAGAAATTAGATGGTATTTTGCAGTGATCGAAAAGTACATTGTCGACACATATGTATTTCACTACATTTCTGTTGTTAATATTTGTAATACTTCAGAAAAAAAGTGTTAAATCTGGGTTTACAATGCATATGTTGCTTAACTTGTCATCATGAGGCCACACAATTCGCTTATACATAATAGCATTATATAATTAATTTGTTCCCTTTGTGTTTAATATACCTATATGCAATAAGTATCCATTAGAAATATATAATAGAGGATAATAATATTAAAAACTGCCTTAATACCAATGTGTCATATTTTCAATTTAATTCGATATTGTTGACATATAAATATACCATGATTTATAATTTGTAAATTATATAATAATATATGAATAAATATTTGCTAATTTATTTAGTGTTGTCCTGAATTCCAGCATTTTTTAAAACACTTTGTAATGTACTGTATTTTCAAGTTAATTCTTCCATATGGTGCTCACATAACTGTATTCATACATACTGGCTGGTATTCTGGAGAAAGAACCTTGGACAAGAATGTGATTTATTTGAAAGCTAAAGGTCTTGAAAGGGAACATCTATTGAAGATAAGTTACAGTCTGCAACAAGGCTGATAGTTTCCAAGTGTTTCCCCTACCCTGTTCTTTTTTTCTACAGCTGCTGTCATGTTCAACTTCCCAGACCAGGCTACAGTCAAAAAGGTTGTCCACTGTCTGCCACGTGTCGGTGTCGGAACGAATTTTGGGCTACCACAGACCAGGTAACTCCTGCAGAGAGTTTAATATAAGCAGTCCTCATTTACACTGGGTGAAGGGATATTTCAGTGTTTGCATTTTGGGATAGGAGAAAAGATAATTGCAGAGATGCTCAATGTTAGAATGCATGTCTTCACTAGTGTTTCTTCACAGTGATTGTGCCTATATCTCATTAACTCCAGCTGTACTTTTTTTTATAAACACGTTCAACCATTACTCACTTTCTTTTAGATGCTAGAGCAGGACTCGCTTCTATTTGAACACCCTCTATTCTGAATATCGGTCATGGTTTGCCTGTCTGAGACTGCACAAGTTACCCCTTATTCACAACTTGCCGTCACGGTTCAAAAAACAAAGAAAAAAACAGCCACAAGCGGTAGAAACAGGCCGCGGTAATTTTGTTTATACAGAAAGGTGAAGAGCGAGAATGTGCAGTTCCTTGCTTGTAATGTACTGTAATTACCAGCACACAAACAACATTGAATTTATTTATTTTTCTCTCCTGAAGTAAATAGTTCCGTGTTAAACTGCCTTCAGGGCAGAATTAGTTCATTCCTTACATCAGGGTGCTTTTATCCAGTTTATCCTGTGCTGCGATGTCCAGTGTGAATGCACTGTCTTATCTGTGTGAAAGCCAAGTGTTAGAAAGTGTTCCTTTCTAAAACATGGCTTTCACACAGCAAAGATTTCTGTAGCATTTTGACTAATATTATTATTTGTTTATAGATTGAGAATAAAGGGGATCCAGTTAAAATGTTTTCACCCAGATATTTTGGTCTGCATTCTTTCATTGCTATTATAGTCATAAATCATTGAGTATACTAGCTGAAGGGTAGGCATCACACACCCACTGTATTCTAAATGTGCTTTGGCGAAAATTTCAGATATTCTCATAGAAACAACAATGACGCAGTGTGACAATATCCAGTTATTTTGTACTTTGAGTTCTGTCCCTGGTTTCATTCCTTAAGATGCCATTCCAGCCCATGAAACTGAGCAGGAAAAGAGTTAAGAGCATGGTCAAAACTTCAAAATGATCCTAATGACTGTAATCTCACACTCTGACAGTGATTAATACCCTAATTTGCTATTGTTTTAATTGGATTGCAAGTCATTTGTTTTAGGCCTTTCATACATCATGCCCCAGGAGCTAGAGTTTACACTTGGAACAGCAAGACCCAGATTCCCTGTTCACATGGCGAAAAAGGAACATTAGTGTTTTTCCTTCCTGTACAAAACATTATCCGAGCAGATTGGTTATCTTTAAAAACTCTTTGGTTCTCTTTCTTAAATCAAAGAAAGGCATTTTAAATACATGCAGCTAGTTACAGTCCATTATAATTACTACTACTCTTTTTTAAAATATTGTACTCATTACTATCCAGTCTCAAGCAAGTATACAGTAGATTGCGATGACAAACGTTTTGTATGTGCTGTCAAAGTCTCTTGACCTATTGTATGCAAAATATATAAAGGTACTATAGTTCCAAATAATAATAATAATTACTTACACTTATAAAGTGCTTTCCTGGACACTCCACTCAAAATGCAAATGTATCATTATTAAGCTATCCCAGTTTGGAAAAGCACATGCATGTTTTATTTCTGTGTTTTTCATCTTTTAGAATTGTCCTGTACCCTAACATTGTCGTATGCATGCAGGTTTCTCTATTCTCCGTGTTGCCTGTGGTATGCAGTGAAGTTTTAAATGTTCAAATGAGTGGTGCTTTTCCTATTTTAAACTGATAATTTTGGTAGTGATTCGTTGTGCTTTACAAATTAAGAGCAAGTCTAATCATTAGTGATCATTAGTCACAATACCTTGACTTAGATTATCTATTGTGTTAAAAATGATCATCCAGACGTAAGTAAGAATTCAGCAGAGAAAAAAAAAGGTAATGCTAACAACTTGGCCAATACATAGCTAATGGAGGTTGTGCCTTGGCACAGTACTTTGTTGTAAATATTTACCACATTGGTGGTGGTGGAGGGGAGTCCCCATTACCTGTGAAGCGCTTTGAGTGGAGTGTCCAGAAAAAGCGCTATATAAGTGTAAGCAATTATTATTATTATTTAGTATTTTGTCAAAGAATGTGAAAATAAATCTCAATCATCTGATATTCCAAGCATGTCTCCTATTTATTGAGATGTGCTCATTAGTATATTATAGGTGACATGCTGGCTGTCTAAACATAAGTTTGTATTTTACATTTTGTTTTAGTAACAGTTTTCATCTTTTTCCTTAATCAATTAAAATGCTTGAAAGCAATGTCCTACTTATATTACATGAGATGTACAGTACTGTATTTACAGTCTTATAGTGCAACACCTGTGGCCTTGGTCCTTTTTCCTAATATAAGAGGTACAGTAGTCTGGTGTCATTTACATTGAAGTGTTTGCTATTACATTGTAAATCAGTCAAGACATTTGCAAATAACTGGAAATTACTGGTTTGATGTTTAATTTGTGTTCCACAATTAGTACAATAGTGAGCTTTGTGAAACCATAATTTGGGACAACATTTCAGTTAAATAGTACCAAATAATTATCTAATTGGCATGCTAATTAATGTTGCTAGTTTGCTTTTTGACTGTGGAGATGCATATTCAAATATAGCTAATGCCATCCTCAAAATGCAAATGCATATTCAGGTGGTACTTGATTTAACTCTTCAATTCTTTACTGAACTGGCCAACGTACAGGTATGAGATTGTCTGCCTGATTATATTTCTTCAGGCGTATCTCTCTGGCCAGCCCAAAGCAGCTCTATAAAGCCTCCAACATGACGCAGCGCTGGCAGCGAAGGGAGATTTCCAACTTTGAGTATCTCATGTTTCTCAATACTATATCTGGTAAGTTACCATGAAGACGTGTTTACTCTGGCTAGCAGGCAGGGGTTTGCACAACTCTTCATTTTTATAAAAACTGTTTGGCATTTAGATTGCGAAACTGTGAATATTAGCATTTTGTCATCAGATATCTTTATTTACTGTAGATATATCTTTTATATATGTGTGCAGTATATGGGTAGTGACATTAGTGCATGTCTGATCAGGGGTCATTTTGTGACATGTGGCCTGAACCAATCCTCACTGTGATGTCACCTGAACAACTTGATGGTACTGGTCTATGTAGTGATCAATTTCTGTCCTGAAGGGAGACTTTTATGTTCCTGTGCTGCATTGTATTGTGTGCATATTATACTAATTACAGACGTCCTCAGAATATCTTTTAACACTAAAGTTGCCATTTATATTATGACGTCTTAGTTTTATTATTTTTTTTATGTTTAATTTGTAGTCAGACTTTAGCCGAGGTTAATATATTAAATGCTCTGACCACTCTGACCATTACAGCTGCCAATTATATTGGCATAATTTATGTGCTGCCCTATATTGTTTGTAACTTACATTAATAGAATTAATTCCTATATGTATACATAACTCTTCAGCTGTTAACTATGAACTTTAAGCAGTTTAAAGTTACTAATAAAAGGCAGAAAAAAATAATTGTACCAACTGGATTTTTTCCAGAGCTGATGTGGTGATTGATTGTGACATGATTCCTTTTGCACCTTCAGCTACCCTCGGATTATCCTTCTCTGTTGAACTTATATAATAATTTTAGGTGGTTATGCTTTGAATTTGCTTCGTGAAGTCAGTGCAATTGAAATAGAGGAATAAAAACACCATTGTTTCCATAGAGTGCTAATGATAGTACTCAGCATTTTTACTCTTCCAACACAGGTCAGGGAAGTGCTAAACTGAAGAAATTTATTTTTTCTTTATTGTCTAGGCCGGACTTACAATGACTTAAATCAGTACCCTGTTTTCCCGTGGGTTATCACCAATTATGATTCAGAAGAACTGGATCTGACACTGCCCAGCAACTTCAGAGATCTATCCAAGGTAACTTACTTCTAAGTTGTGAACAGCTCAAGGACTGGGTAATCATCTTTCTGGAGTACATGCTTTGCCTTTCTTGCTAGTTCTTCAGGTTTCAACCTGTTTGGTGTTGGAACTGCCCGGTGTTTAGTGAAAATGTTCCACAGAAGGATGTGTGTGGAAGTCACGCAGCTCAACAAACATGAGGAATATTTATAGTAATCTCCAGTGCACTTGAGGGTACTTGCTCATAACCCTCCTGATTGATCAAAAGTCATCTTGCAGTCAGATATAAACTATGAAAAGTTTTAAGGAAGAAAATAATATGATGCTCTGGTCACTTGTAAAACACAAGCAATTGAAAAAGAATGCGAATGAAACAGTGGATTCATGGTGCAGTACTGATGTTTATACATTTCTGTCTGTATTGCTGTTTTTTCTGTTTTTTCTTTTTTATATAATTATATAGAACTATTTGCTAAGAGTCTGACACTGCACACATTTATTCCATGGAAAACAAATGCATTCTCAGACTATGTCTACATGTCTGCAATATTTTATTAATGTTCTCTATAGTATTTTACTTGATTGTGTGCTGTTAGATGTGTTTTGCAAAACTTTGCACCATAAAGTTCGACGTTATTAATTTATTTTCAAATGGTAGCAGAGTCCAATTTAAAGTAGAAATAATTCTGTTCTAAAGCAATATCTAAAATGTACTCATTGACGAGAGTGAATTCCTTACGTTCTCTACTTTAGCTAACTTCTCATCTGGTCAGACAGCCATCTATCTCCTCTTTATAATAATCATGCTTAGAAATGTCCCAAATGTTACCTTACAGCTTTGATACCTGCTTATTAATGTGTGTATCCAAAGATTAATTATTTTCTATAAAATTTTCCATAAAATTCTGGTTTCTCTGAGCCGATAAGGCTGTTATCTTTGATTTTTTTGTAATTGATGAGAATCAAGTAAAGGTTAATTCCATACTGAAATATAGAAAGAAGAAATGCCTGGGAGGTGGTTCAGGCTCAGTATATGGCTGTTTAGATTTGATTCACTCAGATGTGAACCTGTTTCTTTGTAGCCAATGTATGTTGGTGCAGATCCCTGCTTGAACTATTTTTCACGTGTTTTTAAGAATTTCTGCAGTTTTTTTTTCTTCTATGCTAGTCAAATATGGGCTTGCAACATTCTTTTCCTGTTTTACTCCCAAAACTGTATCATATTTGGTGTGTCACCACACTGTTGGGATTAATGGTTCATTGAATACCTGAACAACTTTCATAAGAGCATGTGGCTATGTTGAGCTGCTTGAGCACATTGTACAGGACCAGAGAGTACTGTCAGTGAAAGCAAACTGTATTTAAGTCATTCTGTGCATAACATTTGCAGTATTGAGCATTATTGTTATTTTTGTTCTTCTTAAGGAATAAGCTGATATTCAATGAATTTGATCAGTGAAAGACCTTTCCAGAGTCGATCAGATGTGAACTGATTATTTGCTGTTTAGTTAATCAAAACATCAAATGAGTTTCACAATTACAGGGAAATTGCTAGTGTATCAACACTGAATTTGGGTTCTAAACTAAAAAAAAGGAAACTCATATTCTGAAAATTCACAAACTTACTAAAATAGACCAGTTCACAGGATGTTTACAGCAATTGTTTTTGTGCTGTATATTTTTTGTTTCCAATCCATGTAGGAGAATATCAGCATCTGAATTCTAAGCTCATTTCAGACCTGTTAATCACCTTAAAGCCCTGATTAGTCTTAAGTGTAATTACATCAGATATTTGCTTAGAGAGCCTCCTCTTTAATCACAGGCCTGTGTTTCATTTTCCTGATACTGATCAACTAACTAGCAGTCTGCTGAGAAGCAGGGCTATTGCAGCTGAGATACCATAGCACATGGAGAAGAAAGCCTAATCTTTTCAGACCAGTAGAGAACCAATTTGCTTATGCTCTTTCATTGATATCTCATAAGCATCAGGTAGCAATGTTCGATAAAACCCCCCAAAAGGCACAGTTTACCTGCCAAATCAGCTTTTCGGTCTCTGGAGAGCAAAAAGAGAGAAAAAGAGAGAAAATTCCAGTTTACTTTTATACACGCACAGTTAACCTTATGTTTTTGTAATTTAATTGTGTACTGGTTCTTAGACATAAAAAAAGCATTGAACAAAAAGACCATCTGCATTCTTTTGTACATAACTAGATGCTGGAAAACGAAGTGCTCCATTCAAAGAACAATTATAAAAAAAACAATTTTTACAATATTCAAATACTAATATTCAGAGCAAAAATCAATTACAGTTATGTCTGTATTCATATTTTGTCCTTATAACCGTCAAGTTAACTTGCCTCATAGTTTGAGAGAGTTTTATAAGAGAGAAGGTAAATTTCTTCATTAGCTTTCAGTTTGTTTTGCAAATGATCAACGAGAGTTGTTCGCCACCTGTGAAAGCACTCGCTGGGTGCAGGCTGAGCTCTGTGATCATGGGTTCCGAGCCTGGGTCATGCCAGCCACGCCTGGGATTCGCACACAATTGGCCAAGTGTCACTGAAGGCTGGCTGGGATTAGCGGGTCAGGGCTCTCTTGGCTCTCAGTGATCCCTTCAGCCTACTGGGTACTAGTAGGTTTATGGTGTGATTGGATATGCCTTTGCTGTAATCTGCTGTGATTCTCCGGTACAGGGCTACACTGCCTACAATATGTTAAAAGACAAGTGGCTCAGCAGTGGGCATATTGCAGGAGTCTGCCTCATTTTACCCTGTGTGTGGTCGTGGGGTTTGTAGCTTCAAGCCAAGACTTGAAAAACATTTAAAATTTTGCTATTAACACAAAAATAATGGGTGGTCATTTTTTAAAAATGAAAATGCTGATTAAAAGAATCTAACAGTATCCTGCTTTTTTATCGTAATACCATAGTAAGCTTTATTTTATATAGCACCCTTCATGCTACCTCATATCTTGGGGCCCTACTATAGAATAAGAAATAGTTTTTAACTGAATAGAATATATTGCTATTATGTAAAAATAAGATTTAGGAATATCTAAATGTGCTGACTGAATGAATAACCCAAAAACTAGTTTTAGACAAAAGTTGTTTGAAATGTAAAATACAATAACATATATTTTGCTCTATGGAGAATATTAGAATTGCCCTGTACACTATATCTGCTGTGTATTGTATACAGTTAACAATCAAATGGAGTTATTGAATTTTGTAATGCAAACCCTGTTCTATGGCAAATATGGGCTGTATATGCAATTTGCATTTATTTTTGTGTAATTTAAACCTTTCCAACCTTGCCAGAGTCTGTAATAACCATAAATTGAGTTTAATGGAACTTGTTGTGGGAGGATTCAGGATTAGTTTAAGGCAAGGCGACAGAAAGGGTGTCTGCCCTCAACAAAATTGCAGAATAAATCATGAAGTCAGGCCATTAAGCACCTTTGAAAAGCGAAAAAGAATTTTATATTAATGGATTCCAAATACCTGAGAAGTAAAAATGAGCTATCTAAAGTAATTGAGTCAGCTAAAGTAAGCTTTTTATCCGCTGGATTTTTTTTTCCTGGGGGAGTGATTCTGAATAAGGTGATTTTTTTATAGAATGGGTTTTTCAGGTAGAACTTACAAAATCTTACAGGATAATTACCAGCAGCGATTCTGTCTATGGGTTCTGCACTGACACTGTGGTCTGGTTTTACTGCTCCTTTCAGAATTAAAAAAGAGGTTTGATATCAAATACTGTTTAATTTGCATAAATACAAACTTTGATACTAAAACATTATTTATAATGATAACATTGAGGACAGATTGTGATCACAAAAAATGACTTAATGAGAAATCACAGTCAACTCAGAAATAGTTTTGAAGTGCTGTTGTTTATTAACAAAAAAACCCTCATATAACCTAATTTAAGATTATTTTGCAAAGCAGGTTTACTAATACTTTTTATTCTAATGTATTTTATTCCAATTTATATTTAGGGCATTGGTCTATATATTACAATAATATACTTTGAATGGCATAATTCTGCAATGTTAATTTTGTAATGGTAATTCTGTAACTGTTGAAACTGTTGCAATTCATTTTTTCCACAAAGTATGTGTTTATACATCGTCTTTTTCAAAATACCAAATGTTTGTGGGATTTGTGGGAGTAAATTCCAGTATTTCAATAACATTTTCTTTTCACTATTTATTTTTTACAATCTTTAAATTTGAAATGGGAGTTGGAATTTGGAGAAAAATCAGATTGCAAATTGTCTACTAAATTGTTTACACTACATATAACAGTACAGTGTATTGTATGTATACATATGTATCTTAAGTGGTATTTTACTGTAGAATTCTTATTTTCTACATATTATATATAATAGATGTATTACTTTGAAAGGTATTGTTGACTAAATTGCTACATTTGTTGAAATCAACATTTTCAAAGCACTGTACCATAAGTAATATGGCAGTTTCTAGCTTTAAGTGTGTTCACACCTTTGGAATTTGATTTGAAGATTTTTGTTCATATAAATACTTTAATAAAAGGCCAGATTACAGAGGCAGAGTTCGACCCTGCCCTTGAATTCTTCAGTCCCACCTCCCTCTGTGCTAAATGGGCACTTTCCTTTGATGTGATGGTACTCCCTGCTGTGCTGATTCAACACTATCAGTTGTTTTCAAAGCACCACCATATTATTAGCTATTAGAAAACACTCTTAAAATGTTCCTGTTTACAAACCAGATCACACTTGACGTACGCTGGAGTGGTGCTCTGCCGTGCACTTGACACAGCTGGCCAGCCAGGAGGCAGGGGATGTGTTATCTTTCCAGGAGCAGACTTTCTGCCAACATGAGGGTGGCAGAAAGATGCCTTTCGCCCCTGGTTCCTCTCTTTATTTCTAAGCCCTCTTCTATCGATCGCAAGTTGCCTCTCCTTCCTTCTCCTCCAGTTCCCCTCCTTTCTGAAGCCATTTTTTTCTTGTTTATTTGTGCTTCATATTGACTACTAGTTTGAAACATGACAGCAGTAGCTGTGGCTGCACCCTTTTTTAGAGATCTGACAAGCGCAGCTCTGTGCTCAGTCAAGCTTTCACGCCCAAGGGAGGAAAACGAGAGGGAGGGTAGCCTTTTTGCTGTCTCTGTCTTTCTTTTTTGTCCAAGAGCTAGGAGATCTCCTATCTTTATTACATCTGTTATATTCATATTGTTGACACGAGTAATATAAGTGTATGACCACTGAACCATGCATGCCTGTTCTATTTGGAGAGGGCATTTGTTTCTTAGAACTCCCAGTGTAATTTGCGTTTTTATTTTTTTTCCCTCCTTTTCTGTCTCTAAGCATTGGTGCCGCGTACGGTGTTGCTTTGATAGAAACAAGTCATGTGAGACCGATGACATTGGGGACTGAAACTGCCGTGAACGTGGTATGACATACTGTTGTCATACCATATAGTATTGCTGTACAAATTTATGTTCTAGGTTGGAGTGGTTTTGCCCTCTGGGGTTTTCTTATCATAAACTTTAACCTCAACATGACATCTGGTGCTGGGAAAGATAACATTGTAGTTAATGTGAGCAGTGGCTGGTTTTACATTCAAATTGGCAAAAAAAACACATTAATTTCTAACTGCCTTTTACCCCAAAATTGTAATGAATAGGAAATGGTATATTTTGGACAGGTTGTGTGACTTGCTTTTGACAAGTGGCTCACAGCTTAAAAGATAAACTATCTTTGTATTTTTTTGTTTGAGACGAGAAACTCTAAATGTTAAACATTGTATAGAACCAGCGTAGTTGGGTGATAATTTAGCGAGCATTAGAGATTAAATTGTGACATATTGACTTTAAGATGTTTGTTGCTTTTGCATCAGTGATACAATTGAATAAAGTAAAGATGTTACAAGAAACATGAATATTTCTTATAGGGGATTATTTATTACTCACACTTATATTATATTTTCCATTTCTGTTTATTTGTTGTTGATTTGGTTTTCAGAGGTGTGGCACATTTTATTTGTTCTCCATTACAAAGTGCTGTGGAAAAGATTGTGTTCAGTGTTATTAACCATGAAGTTTTGTGTTTACTCAACTTACAAAAAATACTGTGAGGAAATTGCTACCCTATTTGTTTCTGAAAATCCATGCATATGGAAATGTGTGGTGGTTAACTGGATTAGCTGAGTTAAATGATGTGTTCGGCAGGTAGGTGATTTTTATCAGGGCAACATTAACAACCATTCCTGTAAAGGTGAAAGTACAGGGGTTATCTAGTGCTTTGAATGTAGATTTCTGTCTACGTTGGGCTTTATTTCCCATACCAATAAAAGTCTGAGGATTATGCGTGGGTCATGTAAGACTTGTTGGAGATGTGGATGTAAATTAAAAGTCAAGTGCTACACTGGTACAGGGATAAGACAAGGTCTGATGCATGTCTTTGGTAATGTGTGTAATTCAGGATTTAGTGTGCCTGTTACTGGTATATCTAACAGTAATGAATCAGACCTACTTGTCAGTGGCAGAAGACAGTGGTCTGTGGATTGTGCTGTTGTGGGAAAGGTCTAGTCTGGTTTTAATGTATTCTTTACTAAATGGGTTAAAAAGTTAGTTTTAGTTAGTCTGGTGTTTATCAGCCTACAAAAGTTAACAGTCAGGTGAAAATATAAAATGAATAGTACAGTACTTTTTAAAGTCTTATATCATCTGTATGTTTTATTTTAAAGTACTAATTTTGCAAGGTTTGTTTTTGTTTTCTTAATGATGATTATAGATGTTTTTCAAATATCTTAGAAAGGTTCATTTGTATGGAAGTCCTTAAAACATTAACTTTAAGTGATAAACATGAACGGCTTATATTAGCGATGTATTCTGTATGTTTGTTTTTTACAGTAGATGTGCCTGAAAATGGAAATAATTTTAAGAATGATGTGTTCATCCCAAAAAATGATATACAGATTTTTTCTATTTTTTCTCCCAAATTTTTAATCATTAGTGGTAGTATGTATGACAATGAGGAAAAAAGAATATATGTATACTGTTTAATGGCACTTTTAAATTTATTGAAGAATAGCAATACAATTGTACCTTGTAACTGCTTTACAGCTAATTAAAACATTTAAGCACCTCATTTATTCGGCCAGTTGTCAGAGAAATATTGGCCTGCACGGGCAGAGCATATTAGCCCAATACATTGTCTTCACTTTATCATAAACCTGCTGGGGATGCTTTGATGTACAGCACTGTCATGGTAGATCTATTGTAAGAAGGTCTCCTCTTCGTACCGCACTGTGCCATTAATTTATAGCAGTAAACAATGTGTAGCACTCTGGTTGCAGTGAAGCAGATTTTTTTTTTAATGAGGTGGATGTTATTACTGCAATAAATCAGCCCAATCGTGTAATGTATAATTCAGTGTGTGTATTCCCACTGTAGCTGCAGTGAGTAAGCCAATAGTGTATCATTGTCAGAGGGACAGCCTCACTGCGAACCTGTACAGTCTCCCTCTTCAGTGGGTGCCAAAGCTGATCTACTGACTGCAGAGGAAAGCTCAGGGAAGAAAGAACGTCTTCCTAGCTCTTCCACTTTGAGCGTCAGTTGCCACAGTTGCATGCAGAAATCAATACTGCATCTGCCTGCTGGATGGCTTCTCAGTGACATCGCCGTGATATGAAAGGGATGGGATCAATTCAAATTGGGTTGGACTTTATTTTCGAAAGGTCGTCATTGTGTTACCATTGATCCACCAGGGCAAGTCATTGGGAGAGTAATAAAAATTGAACTGGAAAAAATGATTTCTTTAAATTAGTAAATAAAGGAATGGCCCGATCCATGGGGTATTGGTTTTGGAGGTCAATGGAGAATTAATGCAATTTGTGTTTGATTTTTTTGTAACCAAGCAGGGCTCGATTTCCATGTTCCTGCCAAAATGCAAATGAAAACAAGAACCTTGCTATTAGTATTCCAGCACTTACAGTCGAGTACGTTTGAGCTTTTCTTTTTCTCAGGTGAACCCAAGACAAGATCATTTCACCACAATTAATTTGTATATTTTTCAAATACTGAGCATAGCATAATGTAACACAACACAAATCACTGAGGTAACATTACAATTGTGTGTGTTTCAACATATGTTGATATCAAGTGTTGTTGATACATCCCTGGTTTTATTATATTTTTAAAGGTTTTAGAAGCAAAGACGGTTAATTCAAATTGGATGAGGTTGTTTATTGTGAAAATAAATGTTTTGCTTGATACTTCTAGTCCTGATTTTATTGAAAAAAAAAATGTTTATAAGTTATGAGGAGGCAGTGTCCTCTCAAATCCATGATTTCTAATAAGACACCAAAATAAGTGATTGTTAAAAATGGAGAGTCCCTGTTTTCTACTATAACAGCTTCTGAATTTTTTTTAACTTACAATTTAAGTAAGCGCACGTGAACCAGACTAGCCTAATCTTTTTACTAAATCGCTGAACTGGAAAGGAAACTGACTGCTGCCCTTGCTATGGATTCTAGCCAGAGCACGAGCTTCCGCCGACTGTAGGATATGAGAGCCGTCATACAGTCACAACCACTTCACCGTTCTACACCCTGATTTCGAGCCACTTGTTATAAAAAGAGGCGAAAATGCTTTCTAGATGAATGTGAAATGTTGTCTTTGAAGGAGGACATTGTAAATCCAGTCATGCTTTTTAGTCTGTGTTTGAGGATGTAGTTTTATTCAAACTCTTTTTGCATTTTGATTAAAAGTAAATCTAATTATGCCATCCAGGAGACATGTTTTTCCAGACCCTAGAGAAGACAAGGACCGTAGAACGCTACTTTTATTTCTTTTCTCTTTCTGTTATGAGGTATTTTGTTACCCTTTCTGTTGTTATTATTATGGTAATCTAAGCATTTAATTCCTATTTTGCAACTAGATACCTTTTTATTATTCTAGTCCTTTGTATTTGCGTAGTCTAATTGACAAAAACAGTTATCCCCAAGTGTGAGCACTAGACTTGGCAGCACTCTAAAATGCTCTGTGCAACTGTCGTCTGTGTCTTTTGTAGCCTGTCGGTGCTCTCAACCCCAAGAGGGCAGCTTTCTTCTCTGAGCGCTTTGAATCCTGGGAGGATGAGCAAGTCCCGAAGTTCCACTATGGTACCCACTACTCCACCTCCAGCTTCACCCTCATGTGGCTGCTTAGAATTGTAAGTCCTGCAGGCCTTTTTGAAACTTGTTACTATGCACATTTTCTCTTCTCTTGTCATTTTTATATAATCAGTTTTCATTTTTTAAATAATCTTATACATGATATTCCAAAATGTTTTTTTTTATTTATTATTTGCTTAGAATGGTCTTTAATAAATGTTAAATGTCCGGGTTATAGAGACTGGATAAGATATCCAAGTCTCTCTGTGTTTACAATTATATTTTGTACGTTGTTCTTTAAACCCTATTATAAATGTGTGGAAGAGTTGACGTTTCTTGTTTAGGAGAGGAAAACAAGAGGTCATCAGTAAGGTTTCAACAGTTTGAGTCAGTATACAATTATGCAGAACCTTCACTGTGACAACTATTTCCAAACTTTGCTCCAGACAGCCACTGGTTAGTGTCTACCTGAGCTGTGCTACTGGAAGTGATAGGTCTGTGAGCTTTATGTTGACAGCAGTTCCCAGACAAGAATTAACTAGAGGTTTAGTGTCAGTACGCTGCTACCATTAAAAAAACAAAACAGCAACAGTTGCCTGTTTGTGGGACAGTGTCAAATAATTGAAATTTGAAACCAACATTTCAACCAAATTTTGAAGCCTTGGGCTTGGTTTACTTGCCTTCCTGTGAAAGCTGTGTAGAATTTTATTATAACAGGTTTGACTCAATCCTTCTTTTAAAGGTTTATATAAAAATAATTCAACTGAACTTATTTAGAATTAGACTCTTACACTTACTAAGATCGATTAATTTATGTCTGCCAGAAATAGAACAGTTATTGACCTGTTAAATTATGCTCTTTGCAAAAGTGTGTGCTGTATCAGTTTATTTGATAAGGTGGGGTTATGTAAATGAACATGAAACAGACTTTGCAGACCCAACCTTAATATGTTGTGATAAAACTTTAAAAACACTCTAAAAACACTGCAATACTAAGGAGCTTTCAAGTAAGATATTTAATCTATCAGATTTACTTAGGAGTTGCATTATTTAATGTGCCCATGCAGGATTATTGACCACTGATTTACTAGCACATATTACAGCACTATATCACCCATCTGGGATGGCCATCTAATGTTTTCCTAGGAATAGTGATAAAATCAGAGTTTAATACAATCCAGAGTGATTCTCTACTGCTGTAATTACTCTAATAAAATAAGGCCATGAATGATCCCAGCGGGATGTGGATTGATCCGATCCCATCGATCCTCACTGGGTTTATTTTAGATCTAGCAACCCTGATGTGTAGCAGTCATATTAAATTGAATCTTCAGCTGTAGGATCAAGATTCAGATTCACCTTTAAAAAAGCACGCAAATGGTTGTCTTTTAAACTGCAGTTTAAAAAAAAAGTTAAATTAGTTTCTGTCAGTTTAAAAGATGTATTATAATTTTATTGAGGTACACTAAGGCTTATGTCCTTCATTTCTCAGAGGAACCATTGTTTCATAATGACAGCTATCGATCTTATTGACTTTCCAAACAAGATTTAAAATGATTAGGCATCAACAAACGGCTTTAACATTTTTAGGTAACTTGTACAAGCTATTCAGTAGGATTTCTTTACTTCTTTTTCAGTGTTTCAAGGGGAAGTGTCTGTTAATCTCTTTGTTGTACTTTGTTGCATTACCAAATGAAAAGTTTTTCTATAAAATAATTGATGACAACATAATTAAAAGAAAATTTCCATCTATTATGTACTAAATTTACATTGTTTTTTTAATAGAAAAGTCTGATTTAATCAAGATAAGCTTTTCACTGTAACCTGTTTTATTATGCTGTAGTACTAACATAAAACGTTTTGTTAAACGTACAGTACATACCATATCCCATTCAATAATTGTATTTTTAAAAAGCAAATTTTATTGATTAATATGATTGGCTAGGAAATAAATGTGATTAATAATGGTAAAACAATATGCTACAACCAGACAGATGAAGAAAACAGGAGTGGAGGTAGTAAAATAAGGCATTTTCTTTTCTCTCACTTCATTTGGTAATGCTTTTTTGAATGTTCCTACAGTATATAATGGCTTCATAATTCCGTCATAAGAAGTCATGACATCCGTTTAAGCTTTGCATCATACCAAATACTATAAATGATGCTAAAACAAATATCATGACCTTATGGGTACACATTAAGTCATTTGTGCCTGTCCCTGTAGGCATGAGTTTATAACATCTTGTGTAGGAGTCCTGAAGGGATTATTAAGGCATTATGCCACAGCATTCAAATAAAGCGTTACTCTTCGTTCTTGGTTTTGTTTGCAGGAGCCTTTCACCACATTTTTCTTGAACCTGCAAGGAGGGAAGTTTGACCATGCAGACAGGACTTTCTCTTCAGTCTCCAGAGCTTGGAGAAACTGCCAGAGAGACACCTCAGATGTTAAGGTAGAACTGTGAAATAAAAAAATGTATTTTAATGTAATTAAGCTATATAAAGTGTTCCCATGTCATCTGCTCTGTAAGCTCATTACTTTGAACACCCTACTAAGAAATATATGCCAAAAGTTGGTGTAGGGTGGATGATTGACTCATGTGTCTTAGCTTCATGAAAACAGGATAGAACTCAGGCCACCAGTTGTGAAATCATATGAGTACCATCACTTATACACACAGTGGGACCTCATACACAATGCCCCACCAGAGATAGTCCTCCATCCTACATTAGTAAATGCCAACAGCATGAGAATTGGTCATGTTGTTGTTAAAGGAGAACTTGAGAGCAAAACAAAAATCAAATGTAAACCAACAGGCAAAGGTTTATTCCATGCAGAAAAGAAATGAAAAGAGACACAACATTTTGGGTGTGAAGAAGGCTCCACAGCTGAAACAGTCTCTTTTCTTTTTAGCGTGGAATAAACCTTTACCTTTTCCTTGCTGACTACATGTGATGACACAGCTACCTACTTGAATTTCTGCAAACATAAACTACAGTATACCAACTGCTTACAATTTTAGATCAACACTTATTTTTGTTATACCCACCCCATTGGGAACACTTAAATGTAGGCCTTTTACTTTGCGGTTCACACTAAAAAATCTTGTGACTGCACATAGGGGAGAACAAGAAAGTGTAGTAAGATTCTTCTGACCTGCAAGCCAGTTAATATTTTGCATGTCATAAGCTACACAGCCTCATGTACGAGGTTTGTATTCTATCAGTTACATTTTGTCTAAAACACTCTTGTCAGATGAATTACTTAACAGCCAAAATTATATTTTAAGATTGCAGACATATATGGTAATCAATGTAGTATTCCTCTATATTTAGCATTTGTTCAGATACCTCAGAAAAGTTATACTTGGTTGAATGACCAAAATAAATCCCTATCAACAAGACTAATGTACTAATGGATGCCTCACAAAATCTTGCCCATAGATACAGTGCCCTGACACAAGAAAGCGACTAACCTTATACATTAGTAGAATTACTGAATTTATACATGTAGAATTGCTGAATTTTCACAAAACATTCATAGATGTGAAGCATCTGTGTCTGTTCCTGTGTGATCCCAGCCTACTGCTGGTCGTGATTGTTCTGGTGTCGACCCAAATACTTTATATCTTTTTCTTAACGAAGCTCATTAAATTTTAGCAGTGTTTTCTGTTGATATAATTCTAAGGTAAAGATCATGTGAACTGGTTGACCAGATACTGCAGTTTCATAAAAAAAGGTTGAAGCATATGTGTGGTCACAACCAATACTTGTCATGCTACCATGAAAGCCTCAGGGTTTGTGATCAAAGCATCACACTAATCCTGACTTTTTTTTTTGCACTGGGGTCTAACCTTTATTTGAACCTTTGCAGAAATTTTCATTCTCAGAAGGGCTGTGGAGCCAGCAGTGAAACAGTTTCAAATCACAGTTATAGTCCACTGAACCCTTCAAAGCCCGAATGGAGAGTTTAACAAGTGTCAGTCCCTTTTAAAATATTTATTGTAATGCGGCAGCATTTTGTTGTCAGGTTTGATTTGGGCTGTTATTTATGTATTGGTTCATTGCTGATTGGTTTCATAAAATATTAAAACATGTGGTTTACATTCCAAGTAACACTTGATTGAAAAACATACCAAAATACCAACTTTGGCTCAGTCTGTCCTGTCACATCATATAAAGGTAAACTGTTGATTTAAAATCAGACAAAAATGGTTAGAAATGAACTTTAAAGGAACTTCTATTATTCATTCAATGATTTTTTTCATAATTGCATGCTACTGTTATGTTTCATTTTATATAGTATGAAAATGCAGAAATACTTTTTAAAATGTTTTATTTATAACGGGTAGGAATGTATAAAAAATATTTTTTTAAAGTCTGAAACAGGCAGCTTTCCTGAGAGGACTCAACCTACATTTTATTAATCACCTGTTGAATTTTTAACACAATTCATGCAGATTTTGTTTTGGTAAATAACCCTTGACAGTGAAAGAGATAGTTTTCTATCTATATGCAATAAATTCTGTCCAGGATCACATTGAAATACAGTGTTAACATAGAAAAAAGTAAAAAGAAACAGCCCAAGTGTTAGTAGCACAATTGCAATCATTTATAAATTGACCAAAAATGTCCGTTTGTGTCGAGCAAAAGAAGTGATAATAGGTTAATTCCTCCTTGATCCGGTCTGTCTCTGCCTTGGCTACCCTGTCCTGACCTTGCGCACAAGCCGCTGACCTCTGCTATTGCCGTCAGCTGTCTGAAAGGCTGTGGCTGCTGGAAGTGGCCCTGGGGGGGGGTGGAGACTGCTGCTTCGCTGACCCATGGCAGGACAGGATTGCAGATCACAGCCACTGGCCTCTGACATTGCAGTGCAGGGCCACTGCACATAATAGCCTTCGAATCAGTCCCGTATTTTTCTGCTTGTTAAGTGGCGTGCAGTTGTGTGCTTGTTAGGAGGCAGACAAATTTTACACCGGTCTCTTTTTGTGAACTCTGGTCATCTCCAGCTGCCATAAACACTGACCATTTTTTGTACTTGATCACTCCTGATGAGAAGGATAAAGGGAACATTTGTTTTTAGTTAATTTATTTTATTTATTTTTAATTACTTCAATAGCAAAATTACTTTGCCAACACTGCCGATTCCATTAGTGTAATAACGTACTGAAATGTTTTCATTTTTGTTATTTTTTCATACGGTTAGGATTTCACGTCAACTGAAAAAGCAAAATTCAGAATCTTATTTTGGAACTGTTTCAGATTGGTTTTATATCAACATTTCAGACATCTCTGTTGGAAGAAAAGGAGTTTGGAATAATCTGCAATTTGAAATTAACTGTTATCCCATAGTAAAGCAATGACCAGAATTAACATTACTCACTTTCATGGGGAGTCTGTAAACCTTATTTATAAACCTCCGCTCTTCCTGACCTTGATCAGCGTCCTCTGCCATACAACTTAAAGTGGAGCCATTCTTCACAAAAAATTGCACTTCTAGAACCTCTGTGAGTTTACTGCAATCTATTACCCATTATCAGAAAGCTTTATAGTTGCAGTAAGAGGTGTGATAGGAGCCTATCACAGAATCACATGGCACAAGGCGCAAGAACGCCCTGCAAATTGTACTTGTCCATAGCCAGGATCACACACTGGGATAATTCAGAGGTACCCAGCATGTCTTTTCAAGTTGGGAAAAAACCATAGCTCCCTCAACCTAAATTCATGAAACAAACTTTTGTTAGGTATCTGTGCCACATTATTCTGGAAAGCATTAATAACTGTTTTTTGAGCAAACCACATACAGTATTGCGACACCCTAACAGCCATCTCTCAGAAACCAATACTTAGTGGAGTCTTACTTGTTATGGGAGAAAATCTTATAAACAGAAGCTGCTTATAAAATAAGGGACAATTTTCAGATTAAGTGTTTTTCTTGCTCTCATGCTTCAAATGTCTTTAAGTGTTAGTGTGATTGTAATTTATAACCAGGTCAAATTAAAAAGCCCAGGAATACCATCAATATAAATTGAACATGATATTTTAGAAACAATGTGTATTGAATGCACAACTGTGAACATCTATAGTAATTCAAGAGTTAACAACAACATTGAAAGACACATTTTCAGACTGGTGTTTTGTCTTCCCTCTCAATCACTTCAGATGTCATGTTGTCATATTGTCTTTAGTTTTATGCTCATTATAGAGTTGCCGTGCAGCACATTAACAGAACTGAAAACCTTGGATTGACAGTTAGAACCCAACATGCTATGTTCTTCCTTACAGCCTGTTTTTATGTGACGCAAAATGAACAAAAAGGAGTATAACATTCAAAGGCATTACGATAAGAAGCACAGAAGTACTCAGACTTGACTGGCAAAATGCTCTCAGATAAAGTAGAAACACTGAAGAAAAACTTAATTTATCAGCGTGAAATATTTACAAAGCCATCACAACAATCAGAATCCATTGTAAGGGCGAGTTTCAAAATAGCTAAGGCAGGGAATCCATTTACTGATGGGCAGTATGTAAAAACGTGTATTATGAAGGCTGCTGATTAACCATGTCCTGAAAAAGTTGCTTTGTTCGAGCAAATAAGTCTGTCAGCTAATACAATTGCTTGTCGCACAGAAGACCTGGGAAAAACCAGTTATTTTGCACTGTATCATTCATCAGCTGGCTTTATGCAGTAACAATTTGCAATTATCTTAAGTAATGGATATAGTTGTGAAGACAGTGAATTTCATACTATCGTCAATAGATGGATATGTAAACCTCCTTTGGGAGCTTCATATACTCTCCAGACAAGACATGTACTCAATTGTAATCCAAATCACTGGAATATTGTAATTGCCACACTGCACTTGCTTTCATATTGGACATCCTCCTTGGTGTTTCAGCATATCTTGCCTAGATGAGGTTGGTTGAAGATGTCAACAGTAACAGGTGTGTCCGCCTTGCAGCAAATGACTGTGTTGCATAGACAACCTCATTCACAGGAAAATTCCTGTTTAGGAATGACATTCCATTTTCTGATGAGCTCCAGTACAGGCCCTGCAAAGCTATGGGGTTCACGTCAAAGAGCATGCACCCTGATGATCAATTATATCTTGCAGATTTATGCTGGCTTTAAATCTTAAAAAAAGAAACATTAACCCACTGAGTTTCACTCCAGTGAATTTGCTGGTTAGCCCCCTGAAGCCAGATCTGTTCATTGAGAAATATGACAAGAATGGATTCCTCTATTGTGAAGATACCTTAGTGCAGTACTGGTACTAATTAGATGATGACTGTGGTTTGCTAAGCTTTTCACAAAGCTCCAGAATAATGCTAACCAGGATATGAAAAACAAAACAAAAATGCAGTCTTTAAACAAACAGTTGAGAAAATGTGTCATTATGATGAAATTGTCCCTGGTGGTGGTTGTAACTCTCAGCCATCCATTTTGTGGTAAGTCAAATGTGGTCTCAGTTACTTGCCAGTGTCCTCTGGGGTTGTAAGCTGTCACTCTTTTCATATTGTAAAGCCTTGTGAAAGTCTTGATTCCTTTGAGTTTTCATCAGCCATGGCCTGAGAGTCTTTTTCCGTTTCAGGCTTTGTATAAAGATGGAAAAGAAAAGTTCAAAGATGGATAAAATTGATTTTCCTTCAATGATAATTAATTTGTAAGCAACCTCATGTGATGTACCTGATCAGCAGGTCAACTGATTGATTTGTGATTGCAACAGATGTACTCCCCCAGTTATTAAACAATTTCCTATACGATTTCTCAGTATATGAGCCATATTTTACAAATCCATTGTCGAGATTAAGACACTTTTGAGACAGTGCTCTTAGTCTAGAACTCGACTTGTTTGACATGATACTCTACTATGATCAGTTATTGACATTTTCTTAAAAATATAAGTCTTCCCTGCTGGTTGCCCAAAATGTACTCGTTACCCAAAATCTGCTAAATACATATGTTAATGAGCAATATGTGCACACTTTTTATTAATATAGAACAAAATGCAATTTTGATGATTTATCTTTTGATTTCAATTGCAATATTATTTGCGAATTCCACCCTCTCCATGGTTACAATTGATAAGCTCTTCATCTTGTTAGAAGGTGTTGATTTGGTCTGAACACGTTAATTTATTTTACAGGTTATAAAAGATGCTTGAATGTGCATACTGCAGTGAGATGGAAGTAGCTATAAACATCTGATTTTCTAAAATGAATACAGTTCTTCAGAACAGTATTGAAAGTTTTTCTAGTTGAACATTTAGTCTGTTTAGAAGTGGCAAATATAAGAAGTCCTGTTTTAGCTTTGTAGTAGCAGGTGTAGAAGGAAGAAAAGGAGGTTTTAACTAAGTAGAGACATGAAAGAGGGACAGAATGAACCACCTAGCTGTCCAGTTTCATGTAAAACCTCAAACTAATAACTGAATTTTCATTTCATTTTTTATCATTACTGTGAATGACTAATGCAAAGTGAATATGCTAAAAAAAGATCTGTTTAAATAACTTGCTGTTGAAATGTCAGTTGCACATCAAAATGAGTTTTGCATACAAACAAGTTTAAATACAGAAGATTCTCCTTATTAAATTCTTTAAGTTTCTTTCTTAAAGTAATTGTTCATGATTAAAGTTGTCCATAATACCATCAACGTCGGTTATGGGAGATTTGGGTGAAAAAAGGCTGAGTTGATAAGATGTAACATTTCTTTAGCGGAAATTCTTCTAAGGAAAAGTTAAGATAGAGGGCAAGTAGATGGCAGAGTCACGGCGACTCATCGGGCCATCCTCATTGCTGTAATGTTAAGCAGATTAGAGAGCATGTGACTACCCCCCCTGAGCAGCCCCTATCCCTGGATGGGATACCAGTCTGCAGATGAGTCTAAAAACTTATCCAGTACCCCATACCCCTGTTAGAAAAACAAATGATATAAGAATTAGATAGTAAGTTACATTCATTTGTTTTAATTGGACCTGTATTGATGTGAAAAGAGAAAAACTTTGAGAGGATTTGCATTACATATGGTTTATTACATCTTCACTTATAAAGATTTAAACCTGAGCCCTGTGTTTTGGATACAGCAACATTCTTTAAGATCTACAGTATTTAAGTTAAGAGTAAATCTTCCGATCCATTCATTATAAATTCATATTTGGTTATCAGAAATACAGTATGCAGAAAAGTAATTCACATCACTGTACTACAGCAACAAAAAACTGTATTATTCTCTTCCTGCATGAGTGTGTACAGTACATAAATGTTCACATACATTTATACACAAACATATGCATGGTAGGATTATATGTATAATAGTCTTATGATAAATAATTTCTTTCCTCATGTACAAAAAACAAAGCAAAGCTATTGTTTTGATTGCTTTTATCAAAGTGACATTTCATAGCACAACAAATGAAGAGTCTGAAGTGTAATTTTCATGAGTAATGATACATTTCAAGTGGTGGTGCATTTTCCATATAGAATTATGGCAAGGGTACTGAAGATTAAAGCAACTGTCTTCTACCGATATCAGCAACATGAATTACGAATTCACTTCTGTGAAGTTTTTTTTTATTTAGAGTTTTTTAGTTTTACATGATTAGATGCTAAACACATTTTGATCTGTCTTTAATTATTAATTGCAAACCAGCAGCTAGCACAATCAAGAAAAAATAATCAACTGTGGTATTATGAGTAGAAATTGTAGCATTTGCATTGGTCTGTGTTTTAAGACATACTTTAATATTAATTAGAACAACAACATCCCTGATAAAATACTCCTTGGGTGTTTTGGTGCATACTAGGTGTGCTGTATTCTACCAGGAGAGCCTAATGAACTTAGTAAATCAATGTGCAGTTGTTGATAACATGCTAAAAATTGTTTTCTTCTTTGCATGCAGGAGTTGATCCCTGAATTTTATTATCTTCCAGAGATGTTTGTCAACTCCAATAATTACAATCTGGGAGTGATGGATGATGGGACGGTGGTGTCTGATGTCGAACTTCCACCATGGGCTAAAACCCCAGAAGAGTTTGTTCGCATAAATAGGCTGGTAAGATAAGTCATCTGTTGTGTCAGTGAGCTGCTCTGTCAGAACACTCTCCATTTAACAGGAAATTCTGATTTAAAAAGACAGTATTTTTTTCCTTTCCAGCTAAGTTACTTTCCTGATACCTGACCCCCAGAGTCTTTAAAATGCATAGCATTTCTGATTGCAGCCAACAATTCTTAATAAGTAAGAATTTAATATATGTTGATGTGTATATTGTACAGTATATGAAACCAGTAGCACTTTTTTGCCTTTAAAGGCCTCTTTCTCTGTATGTATGTGTTCATTTTCTTGTGCCGTTACCATTCTTGCATAGTTATGCGGTTCTTCTCCTTTTTCCTTTTTAATGTTTCATTGTTTGCTGTTTTTGTCACAGCGTTCTTAGTGTGTTTCTCATTTTTCAGTTTTATCCAGCATTTTCTTTGCTGCTCATGCACAAATGCTGCATTGTTAATTGTGGTTTTGAATAGAATGTTTCCTTTTTAAAAAAAAAGAATTGCTTTAATACACGTGCCAATATGCATATACATTTAATATTAAAATTAATTCCAGTTACTTTCAAAACCCATTCACTGTTTTGGTCTTTTATGCATTAATCTTTTGCGAAAGCTATTTCTCAGCACATTTTAATAATTTTATTTTCAAGGCGTACATTATGATATAATATTGCATATTGTTTGTTGATTCTCAATCCTTTCAAATAAGAGCTGTATTATATGGTGAACTTTAGATTTTTTTTTTTATTTGACTCTGGCAGAGTTTACTAGTTTACAGCACATTACTGGAAAAAAGCACTATCGAGACACTATAGAAGTCAGTTAGTGTATTTTTTAATATTTTGCATTTTCTTTAGCTACACCAGATTTTTGTGATGATGAAATTATTATTTCATAAAACAAATTCAAGGTTAAAGCTTCATTACTGGATCTTTGTATTGTTGAGAAGGAATCTGAGTTAGTATTGAAGCATCAAAGTTAATCTTTTTTCTGTACGTTTGCTGAGTTGGTAAGGGAATTATTTTGGTTTGTTGTAACGCTAAGTATCTTCTTTTTGTTCAAAGTAAAAGTAGTTGCAATTTCAACTCTAGGATTTGCATTCTAATATATTCTGGTCTGTCCTTTTTATTCTCTAGGCTAAAGGCCAACTTAAAAAAAAAAACAAGTGTAGTGTACAGTGTATGTCATGAAAGCATTTTTAAGAGTTGGTAAATGATTTATTTCAATTACTTTGAGTAGCACTCAAATGCTGTCTGATTAGTTGTCGTTAGATGCTTATTATGTTTGATCTCATGTTCATGATGTATAATTAACACAAATTTCAGCCGTGCAAACCCCATGAGTTCCTGCAGCATGGGTCAAAGTGTTTATAAAAATGGTTGTAAGGGCTTAGTTACAAAAATAAAGAAAAATATTTTTTCTTTCTCACACATATTAAACACAAACACTAAAAGAAGGCATTCATTTATATTCTCTTTAGTCCTTTTTCTCGGGTTCCTACTTCATTTTCTTATTTATTTTTGTGTAGCTTTTTCCAGCAAATTGAATGTGATAATCACAGCTCATGAAATGCATACTGCTTTGATCTGTGACCTTTTTTGTGGTGCTAATCAGGATCCCGATATTATTGCACCTCGCTCATTAATCATATTTCCTGCAGAATGTCGCAACGCCAGACGTTCAAGCCCCTCTTTGCAGCCTCAAGTTGGCAGCCTCCCCCTGCCTAGTAACTTGCTTGTGTTACGATACTTTGGCTTCAAATGACCAGTGCTGCATCAAGCTGTGTGCTACAATTAAAGTCAGATGGCCCTTAGGTTGAACAGGGATATAGTATTGCAGCTGTCTGTCTTTCAGTACCAGCTCTGTGCTATGAACAGATGATATATAGGACAGGCTATAATTACAGATGGTACAGTAGTAGGTCAGAGCAGTGAAGCCAAGCATTAATTAGCTGGCAATGTTGTATTTCACTAACACTTTGCATTTCTCTTTGCAGTTCTATGCTATACTCTAAGGTGCATGTCTCTGTATCGGTTACATGTCTATAATTCCATGCATCACAAAAAACTGATTTTTGATTTGTACATTAATAGTAGATGCTAATTTAATTTAAGGTTAAAGTCAGTTATTTGCATGGACTTTGCAATATTTTGTTTCTTTCTCTGCAGTGCTTAATGTTTTCTCCATTAATTCCCAGATTACAATACATCCCACCATGTGCCAGCAATTACTTCCAATCAAAACAGTCTGCACACTCAACTTACTGCAAAAATCAATGCTCTTGCTTTTTAGTACACTTTCTGCAATGTGCAAAAAACAGAATATTGATCTGCACAGAACAGTGGAAAGAAAACAGGTGAACTGAGCTGCAGAAAATGAGTGCAGCAGCCAAAAGATGTTACCCAAAGACTGAATGTGATTTGTCAGCTTTAATTTCTTCAAATTACCATTGGAAGTCAATACTATTTCCATTGCTCGCTTGTGCTTCTTTGTCATTTTTATCCAAAACTAAAATCTGATATTGCACTGGTAAACAATGGAGAATGTTATCTTGAGTTTGTCAGCACTTTCAGTGTATGGTGTAGCGTTTAAATGCTCTTATTGTTATTACAAAGTTTCTATGCAGGACAAGAAATGAAAGCAGCATCACTTACAGTACATAACACATTTTTCAAATCCTGTTTGTTTTTACTTTTACACTGTGTTGATCCTAGTACTCACCTATTTAGATCTTAAAATATCTAAATATGACAGTGTGCATAACTGTCTCCTTGTGATGTCTCCGTTGGCTGATACAGGTGATATTAATGACCTGTGCTGTTCAGGAACCAAATATATTTGGTTATGTGCCATACAGTACATGTTCTTCAACACCTTTCAAGCGTTCGGAAATGCAGAATTTAAAAAAGAAAGAGACATTAAAGAGTATTTTGTCTCTCCAATGTAAGGATTTTCTTTACCTCAGAGGCCTTTATGTACTGTAGAAGCATCCAACTTGCAGATAGGCATCCCTGTGGTCGGCTAGCTCACATACTGTATCTCTTCATTAATACAGAATGGGGAAAAGGTTCAAGAGAGAAGATATATCAATTGTCATGTGTCATCTGTAGACTGTAAAAATACTGAACTGTTAAAGACTGTAGTTCTTATTACAGTATATCTGCAACATAAAACCTGATGGTGAATGCTGTTTTCCTGCATTTTAAACAACAGGAACAATAACACTATTATGTCTCTTTCTCTGTACATGGTACTGTTCCATGGTATTTTAATTATTCTCCTGAAAAAGCTCTTGCTTGTAGATACCATGACTTAAAGAAATTATAAAAATCTGGCAGCAAACTGCATTTGTTAGAAACAATAGTAACAAAATATAGAGCTTTGATGAGGTTTAACCCTTCTGCCACAAAGAGAAAATTATTTTTTTTATAAAGTTTCAACCTCCAACAAAATACATGCTGCAGATATAAGGAAAACACACTTGTTATTCAGTTCAAATAAACCATTCATTTTGACCACATTCCTCCACAAACAGCTGAGCAGTTTGAAATACAGAACGCAGTTGTGGTCGTAGTGCCAGGCAGGAGAAAGGAGTGATAATTAAAAAGGTCCTTGAGGTGTTAGGGCCTCCTAATGACTGATAACTGGCATTATCGGGTGTCATCTGGCTCCTGAAGCAGAATGAGAAATTTGGAATGAGACACTGGCCTCCAAATTGCAGAGATATACGCGAAGAGTTAATGGGGTGTTTCATGCTTTATCACATCTGCCACTAATGGTGTGCAAGTAATGCAGCTGGTACAGACGCAGCGCAAATAAGGCTGAATCTGATACATTTTTATTTCCCTTAAATGATTAACAGTTAATTAAAAAGGAATCTATAACTTTAGATTAACATTAGGAAGAGCTTCACCTTCCAAGATTTTAATTCTTTTAATATATATTAGAATATTTTACATTTGGCATACTATTTTAAAAACTGCTAAAAGCTGAGTCATACAACATGTTGTATGTGGATGCGAGTCCAAATGTTAGAATGCTTCCTGGTTCTTGTGAGTCACCTGTTATGGTTTATAAAGAACAGCTGAGATATTTGCCAAGAAAAGTCAATGTTTCTCAAAAACAGTGAATTATTGTAGCATGGTAAATAAGTTGGATTAAATAAAACAGAATAATAAACTTCCAAGAATTTCTGGTTGCAGCTATTTTTTTTCCAATCCACCATATAAAGAGATGGCTGGCTGGCCTGTTTCTGTTGCATCTCCAAAAAAGCCTGTAAGATTTTCCAAAGTTGAAGCAAGAGAACCCCCCCACAGGGGAAACAGGAGAGCCTGTGCTAGTATCTGTATCTGTCCTCCCACTCAGCCAGCGCTGTGTTCTCTCGCAGAAATCATGAGAGCTCAAGTCAAGCCCTCAGGTATCACTGCATGGCAGTGGACCAAAAAGCTGCAAAAGTTGCTGGAGTGCTGTTTGCACAATGACTAACTGTGCTTCCCTACCCTTTAATGTAAAGCTTACTGTTTATTCTGTTATTACTATTGATTGAAATAAACAAAAAATGTGAAACCCTTTGCAGGCACAGTATTATCTTGACTTAAAATTGACGATTCATTCTGTTCACTGCCAATATAGAATTTATTGTTCCCTTTAAATCTTTTATTCTGAGTAATTTATTCTTAATGTTGTGTGACACATAACTGATTTTTACTTTTGAGGAGTTGTGGAGCTAAGATCTTTATCCCTTCAAATAAATAAGTAGAATTTGCACACTGCCATCCTCTAAACCATTCCATTTTACAATTATTATATTATATAGGAAATATTACAATGACCCAATACTATATATTGTTATTTAAACAAAGAATGCTTTGTAACACAGTAAGTGAAATGTATTGATCGATTTATTTCCAATAAATTCTGTGATTTATTTCTTTATCCTTGCATATCTGAAAGTTTCAGTTAATTAAAATTAGTTTAACCGTGTGAGAATGAGGAGCCTTTGTACTA